ATGGGAGAAGAGGAGCCGCCTGTGGCCAATCAGTGACAAGCAGGCCACAACATCAGAGGAGATTTGTAAAGGTCGTGTCGTCACCAGGAACCAGGACTGTTCAGAACTGCACATGAATCAGCCTCGGACTAACGCGTGTTCACCTGGAGTAGATGAGCAGCGCGTCTCAGGCGGAAAGCGGCACCGTACGTTCACGACAGGACGGTGGTCGTTTGCCTGTCCCATCAGAAATTTGGAGTTTTAGGACTAACCCAAACCTTCAAGGTGTTGGGAAAATTAATTTAAATAGGTTTTAAATAAAAATACTAACAGTTTTAAATGGAACTATTTTACCATGAGGCTGTATCGTACATATAAAAACTGTTTTGTTTGTTAAAATGTGTCCGTTTTGTTTTCAGTTTCAACTTTGTTACGCTTTAATTTATATTTAGCTGTAATTCTGTCGGTGACGTCTGATCTGGAGTTTGTACATTTCACCAAACTCCAGAGTCCTTACATTAGCATTTTGATGAAAATGACTTTAGTCAGTGTGACGACTGGACAAACGCAGTAAATCTGTGTTGTATTTACAGTCTGTTACCTCGGTAACTTCATCTGAGAGCTGCTGTTTTCTGAAACGGTAAATTCCAATTTTCTGCCTGCTCTGGAATGCAACACGTCTCCCCTGTTGGTCTGTGACGTCAGCGTTACACTTTAAGCTCATTACATTGGACGAAGTCCAGTCATGCCAGGAAAAAGAGAAGTGTAATCAACGACAAAAATAATAAATAATCCTCAAGTACAAATTCCGGTGTGTTACTGAGTTGTTCACACAGGTACCGAGACCGTTTCAGCCCAGTTCAAAACTGGCAAACGTTAAAAGTAGTTCTACCTATTCGGCTTCACTGGCACGTGAATCATCACTGGGGCTGAAGCCAAATATTCGACCACGTGGGTATTTGTTCATTGAGTAGGTGATCGGTTTTCACTTTTACTAGATGAACATTCAGTGCAGTCCGAATCCGGTGAAGAGGAACGAGAAGGCGATGGAGACCAACTGGTCCAGTGCTCACGGCTCTGGAAACACTGGGTAAACACTGGGATGGGCGTTTTAGTCTGATGGAGCAGACGGTGTAAACCCAACCCGCACCTTCTGACAACCTGCTAAAGCAAAGCCACGTTGGATTAAAGGTGTCTAGTTTCAATTATCTTATAAAAACTATTATCTTAGGATTTGAAGTGATCTATAACCATATCAATTTGTTTTATTGCTGTCCGTGTCTTGTGCGAAGCACTATTTAGTTTTTGTCACCAAGTAAAACCGACCATTAAATTGGGCGAAGGCGGGGTCCACCCTGGACAGGTCGCCAATCCAGCGCAGGGCTATCACAGAGACGAGCAACCACACACGCACTCCTATGGGCAATTTAGAGACACCAACCAACCTAAGCTGCATGTCTGGACTGTGGGAGGAAGCCGGAGTACCCAGAGAGAACCCAGGCAAGCACGGGGAGAACATGCAGACTCAACACAGAAAGGTCCCGGGTGGGGCCCGAACCCGGAACCTTCTCGCAGTGCTAACCACTGCGCCACCGTGCCGCCTTATTTCCGTTTGTACCTCTGGTATAGTTTGACGTCACTTTTTAATACGGTCGGGCCCCAAAACCGTGTGGCTCGGATTTAGGAGAGTTCACTCAATGTTTTAAAAACTAATAACCATTCCTTAGATTTTTTTAAACACGTCATCCAAAATAAAGGTTTAACTCCAAAAAGCTAATTTAGTGTTTTTCCTGCCAAAAGACCAGGCTAAACTTGTACATCAGCATTTTGGTGAACTAAAACCAGTCCCACCAAGTTATAAAAAGTCTTTAAATCAGAAATATTACACAGTAAAAACTCAATTTGGTCTGAACGTGATTTATATGAAAACTTGGATTAAAGTCAAATTTAAGACAAACTAAAGTTTTTAAATTAAGGTTGAGCCTGTTGTGACATGTTTGACTTTTTCTTTAGTGAATTAACTGATTGTGGACCTGGCTGACACGGTGGCCAAACTCTGCCGGATGGAGACGCACGGTGTCACCGCCACCTCGGCTGGCACGTCGGACAGTTCGTTGGAGCGCGGTGAAAACTAGGCTCCCTACGGCCACACGCTCATGGGCGCTGCGCGGGTCGAAGCTCGAACACCACTATAAAAAACACGTTTGTGTCTCGTATCAAGACAAAAGCCGGTCTGACAGTGGAACGCTCACCTGTTTCCGCGCGTCCTGCTCCGGAAAACTGTTTAAAACACACAAACTGCTGCTGTCAAGGAAAATGTTACCAGGGTGTTAATGAAAAGGACGAGACGTAGCAAATCGAAGCGCAAGGTGAGGAACGGGGAGCGTCCTCTAGTGGACCAGCTGAGCTCCAGCCAGTTTAGTCGGTCCAACTATTTGGCAGAAACAAAGTGGTGGTGCAACATCAGCGTGTTCGTTCCGTTATCACCTGTTGCTGTGAGTAAAACTGAACCGTGCCTCATAGTCACCTTTACGCTGTGCCTTTAGTGTTTGAGACCCAGTGGAACCAGCAGAACTAACGGCCTGGAAACAAGTCATCACTTTACTGCTCTGTTGACACCTGTGAATGGAGACTCTCAGACCTTGTTTGGTTTTCAACACCTTTATTTTTGCCTCTAAGCCTTCCACTACTACCAAAACCTCACAGATGTGGACAGTATGTACAGCTATGGGTCGGCGAACATTCAGGCCGCAGCAAAGCCAGAAAAAAAAACTTTCACAGAAACTAGATTTGGCCTTTGTCGTCGAACAGGAGACGACAACAAACAGAATAAATAACCTGGTGGACACAACATCTGTGTCGAGGTGCAACATCTGCTCTGACTCTAAACACTGAAACCAAAGTGCTCGGACCCACTACAGTATATGGCTTCTCAACGTGAACTCGTACATGTATTCACAAGGTTTGGACCCAGACGAGAGCAGGAAGCGGCCCTGACTTTGAGACACACTCGTCCTATGCTGCTTTACATTGCAAATACACAAGTGCTACTGTGGGGGGCGGGGGGGCTGTGGCTCAGGAGGTAGAGAGGGTCGTTGGAAAAGATGGAGGGACAGACTGGGGGGTGTGTGACTGGAGACGTCCGTCCTGCTCCTCAGTCCTGCAGCCAGACCCACATCACAGAGCTGGTACTTCTGGAATCGTGGACAGAAAACAAGCCACTGAAGCCAGAGGCCGTCATGGATCCACAAGTGGGGCCCGAGAACAGTCAGACCTGGTCCCAATACACTTGATAAGGGACTTCATCAGTGCACATCGCAGCTCTGTGATCAAGGAGACCTCCTCCATGAACTCTGGGACTCACAAAGTCTGACACAAAGTGAGAACAGAAGACCCGCAGCAACTGGACGGACAAGTCGGTCTAATTACTGAGACGTGTTGTTGGAGTCCCACCAGTACCTTTGAAATGTGACACTTATGAAGTCCTCTGTGGTGTTTCTCAGTGTCTTATGGCCTGTTCGGCCTCCGAAGCCCAGAGTGGAGACTGAACGTCACCTTTGTCCATTTGGCCCTCAGAACGCTTCCTGCTGTGCAGCAGTCGACTCACTTCCACTGAGCGCAGGAGGTTTTCACAGGAGACAACAGCATCAGTGCTCGGTCACACTGGTTTCTGCTCAGAAGCTCCCACTGGGAAACCTCTCACCGACGGAGACGGCTAAGGCTCCAGTGAACCGCAGCCCAAGTTCAAGTTTTCCTTCAGTCTGAATACACAGAAGGTTCCAGCTTTCTGTGATCGCCTGTTTCACTTCCAAATACAGTCTGAAAGGTGAACAGTGAACATATGAGTCACCATCAGACTTCAGCTGAAGGTCGCGAATTTGCCCGATGTAGTATGTTCAGACAAAGTGAAGCTGAGTTTATAGGAGCAGCTGGTCTCTGCCGCCACATCTGTGTTCTACACGTGTCAGTGTTCAGGCTCCAGGAAGCACAGAGCGCCTGTTCGGCTTCACATCAACAACATTATTATTCATGAGAAATCACTTCATCCCAGCAGTCTAGCCCAGGACTGCCACCTGTTACGCACTGATGATCTGTTTCCCCGCTGCAGGACAGATGCAGTGGAGTGTCCCACAGAGGCCACCGTACACACATTTACCCCCACTGTGGTGACAATCTCTCCAGTTTCCCTCCATCCAACTGTTTTCGTTCTGGTGCATGATCAATTCTTATTATTTAACACAGTGTCATTATGTTTTGTCACACCAGAAAATCATGTTTCACTGCTGTTTGAACGTCTTCATCAGGTGGAACACAGAGAAGCACTAACGACTAAATGCTCCGGGCTCCTCCGACTGGTCGTTTGGTTCTGGCCTGTTCTGTCTCAAACCGCCAACTGTCACACTACTTCAGTTTCCTGCCCGTCGACTAACGATCGCAGAGCATCTGGGTCTGTCAGACCAACACTGATCTTTATGTGCAGCACTGACCCGTGTGATGGCAGGTACCAGACGCGGTGATGCTCTGCTTTGTCAGACAGTCTGGGCGTGGCCAGCGGCAGATTCACCTCCGCAGGTGAGACTTGGACTGAATGCAGCGACTCCACTGAAATCATCTGTCCTGCAGCAGCAGCAGCTCTGCTGCTCATTGAAGACTTCATTACCCAGAAATCTCTGGTGTCTGATAGTGAAGAATAGGTCCGACTTTGGGATCCGTCAGGTGTTTCTTCCCTAAGTGCTATGAAAACACACGTTAAGTGAGGAAGCAAAGTGCCCTGTGACATGTTTCATCCTGGTCACGTGCAGGGAAAGTGGATGGACTCGAACGCGAGTCGGTTTCCAGCAGACAGGGACAGGTATGGAGGGTTATTAGTGACAGAACGACGGACCGAGCACAGCCTGCTGTTATGTCCAGCATTACTCCACACGAGGCCTACGTTTCATTTTGACATTTCAGACACAAAAATCAATCACTCTTTTTAAAGAACTGACACTGTGGTGAAGTGGGTGAGGCCTGTGTTTCACCACTGGGAGAGAGGTCGGTGGCTGTTAGACTGGATGCTACTTATTCAGTCCACAGGATTAACTCACGTAATTCCTCAGATATTATTTTAAAGCGGGAGAAACCTTCCCTGTGTGCAAGGTGTGGCCTAAACCAGTCCAACCACAGGCCCTCAAATGAACAGGTGACATGAACTCTGGGCTGAGATGTTAGAAACACGCTGATGCAGCCATACACGTGGCTCCTCAGGATGTCGTGCACAGTCACACACCTGCCTTAATGGTTGAGTGAAGCTTCTTATGGGCCATAAGTCATTTCCAGTAAGTTTCCTGTGTCTGTGCTGCTGAAGGTGAACACAGACACGCTCAGCTTCACCGCGGCGTACATGAGGTTCATTCATTACTGAAAACCTTAGTCTCACTCGGAGTTCGGTTTTGTCCTCCTGTCTGCAGACATGTTCGTCTGACCTGCTGGCAGGAATTTCATTTGGTTAATTAACTCATCAGTGACTGGTTTCCTGACAGTTAACAATAAATTACTTCCTTCCTTCCAGGAAGTTCTTGGTTATTTGACCTGTTCGTTTGATTTAATTCTGTGTATTAAAAAAACATTTGTCAGTTTTTTAAAATTAATTAGTAGTAATTTTTTAAAAAACTACAGGGTTTGTTTGATTTTAATCCTATGGATATTTAATGTAATATCAAGTTCTTTACTAGTTGTTCTCTTGGTTGAACACGGTCTAATAAAATACTATCGGTACTTTGGTTAAAGTTTGACTGCGTCTGTAGCCGTTGGTCACTAATAATCCTCCATAACAGCCTGTTTGTTTCCAGCACAACACAAAAGAAACAGCATAAATAAAACAAACTACAGCGACACTTCGGACAGCTTCCTGAGAGTACATGGCAACGCCGTATCACCGTGTACAACACACACTCGAAGTGCAGAGGAAGAGTACTGTCTGTTGACTGTTCGGCCAGAGGAGTCCCGACTCCAGAGTCTCAGCCCTGCCCTCCCTCCACTCACATCTCTTCCTCCTTTTGCTTAGTCACCAAGGCAACAGTCCCACACGTCTGTCACATGTGGTCGGCATGGCAACCAGCTCCCCTGACAGTTGCTAGGAGAAGCAGAGTGATGGCAATGCAGGAGGTCGATGTTGGTCGCTCAGAAAGAAAAAATAAAAGTACCTACAAAAAAAAAACAAGATCCTGGAGGGTCCTGGAGCCAGATGCTGCTGCTGGAGACTGTTACTGACATTTAAGCTCTGTCTGTGCCACTTTAACAAAACATCCCTGAAGTGAAAGGTTTAACAGGAAGTAAGGCTTTTATTCTGAAAGTCACCAGCTGTTTCGGTAGCTGCTGACGTTGGGAGGAGATATTAACTGGCAGCTGAGTCATGGAGTTCAGACTCACATTTCAAACATTATTAGTGTTTGGTGGTAAAACTGTTCGGTCATCCTTTGTGGTGCCAAACATGTCTTTTCCCAGCGACCTCGAACACCTCAGCTCAACTCTGGGGAAAGTCCCCTTGGCCAATCAGAATGTGACTCAGGTTTAACAGAAAAGGTTTAAGGGAGGGTGTCAGCCTGGTACCAATGATGCTTCACGTCCATCTCCATCTACACACTTCATATGAAACCTGACTCTCCTCCCTACGGCTCCTCCTCCTGCTCGCTGCTCTGTGTCTGCAGCTCCGGCTGCTGGCTGCTGCTGCTGCTCTTCTTCTTGCTTCCCTCTCTGGCACTGCCGCTGTACCTGGAACCCGAGGTTGAGGAGGACGTGACCTTTAAGCTCTTTGACGTCTTGGTCCCACGGGTTTTCTCCTTGTTGGTGGTGTCCTGAGGCAGCGTGGGGCTGGAGTGCGCCCTCTGCAGGCCGCCATTGTCAAACAGACGAGACTCGAAGGCCGTCAGATCCTCATCTCCGCTCGACAGCTTGGCTCGCAGCAGCATGGTGTAGGTACCGTAACGGGTTTTCTACATGGTACAGAGACACAAGATGGTGGTCAGGCGTCATTACAGGTGGAGAAGCAGAATAATAAGCACAGAAGAATCAACAAGAAACCTTCAGACATCAGCACAGCACTGTCTGTGTAACAGTAGCATGAAAGTGTTTCAGCTAAAAGTGGAGAAGCTTCTGATCAGGCCCAGCTGGAAGGAACATATCGCAACCCAGCAGTCTGGGAGGAAACAGTTTGACCGTCACACACACACACACAACCTGGTTGTTATTCTTGTGCGCAGGCGGCTCACATTTCACAGGTGGACGGTTTAGAAGCCGACAAGTACTGAGCTAAAAAACAGCAGCATGTTCCTTTAAGTGAGCTGCATGTTCCCAACACCATGTGTTTGTGTCTGTGCAGTTTGACACCAGACACAGTGACTCAGTGGCAGTTGGCGGTGAAGATGAGCAGAAGGCGCTGCGCTCAGAGGGACTGTGCTGCAAGTAGGACTTCAGTCAGACATGTTACATGCTTAGTGACAGGGTTGGAAGCTCAGAGAGAGAAATTAAATTCTCCAGGACTGACCCCACAACACAGGCCAGAGCCCTCGCCCTTACCCTGGACTCTGAACTTTAAGACTAATGTTGGGTTTGCCATCAAATCTGCTTTCTATCATATGATTCAAATATTAGTAGGAGGCAGACGCCCTCTCTACCTTTAAGATTAGACTTAAGACTTTCCTCTCTGATAAAGGTTCCACTTAGGGCTGGATCAGGTGACCCTGAGCCTTCCCCTATGCTTCTATAGGCCTAGACTGCTGGGGGGGCAGATGCTCTGAGCTCCTCTCCTCTGTCGCAAAGTGCTGCTCAGGGGGATTTGTTGTCCCGTTTGTTGTTTGTCCTCTCTAATACTATTAGGTCACGACCTTACTGTGTACAGTGCCCTGAGACGATCGTTGTTGTGAACGGGCCTATACAGGTGAAACTGAACTGAAGTACAATAAATACTAAGTAACACAAAGTTTTCAGCTCTAATAAAACAAAGTGTGTTTGTCACTGAATTCACCTGCTGACTCTGGGTGTGTCTGCCAACCTGCTCACCTCAAACTCCAGGTACTCTCGTCGGAGTTTCTGTTCCTCCAGCTCGCGCCCTTTGACCCTTCGATCTGCTGCCGAGGCCGTGAGGTCGGCCAGCTCGGAGGACACCGCCCTGAACCGGTTCTCATGAGATTTGACCTGCTCCTCCTGTCGAGACAGATGAGACAACTGAACACTGGACTGTATGCGGACCATTCAGCGGGCCACTGCTCAGTGTGAGAGAAACACCGCCATGTACCTGGGACAGTTTGGTGCTGGACCCCGGCAGCAGAGGACGGCTGAACTTCTTCTGGGAGCCAATCGCTGCCGGGAATGGTGGTGCTGAAAACATGGCCGCCAACACGTTGATGCGTGTGATCCACGACTGCATCTGTTCTG